TGCTATAACCACTGGGTCCCGCAACGATTCAGCGTCATTAGCCTCGCTCCACTCGTCCACTTTCAAAGCGGTGCATTGGAAAACCTTCGTTTTCGCCGTTTCTAAGCTTTCTAAAGTGGATTTTCGAGATCAGCGCATTGAATAGCTCCAGATAAGCGAGAATTTAACTAGGTTGAAATCTGCCGAGCCACTGCCTTTAAACCAAATGATGGAGGTAAAGCACGCATAGACCCAAATGGAGAAAGATATAAGCAAGAAAAGATAAAAAAATCAAAACTTAGTGAGCAACGATCCCTCACCTGTATATACGAATCTTTTCAATTGCACTATAAGTACAGGCGGCAAACGGAACAGCTCCAATTTTTTCGTAGCTTCTACGTGATCACGACATTTGTTACAATACCAGGATTCTTCTGGCTTTAGCCGCTCCGTTTCCGAGAACATGCCCTGCGAAAGTTATAAGTGAGCAAACAATGGCAGAGGGAAGCAGGTACACAAATCACCAGCATGTCATGAAGTGTAGGATCGCCAGATGTTCCCGAAGCAAACTTTCTGAGCTGTTTAGCAAGCTGCTCCGATCGTTCGGTATCAATTTGCTGCAAAATTTTCGATGAAGCAAGATAATCAACGGAAAAATAGGTAAAACTAAAAATATTGACTAAGCTACCGAAAAGACAAACCGTTTCATAACTAGTATGGATACATACCAGATTTCTTCTATTTTCTACGCTCATAAATGGTCTTCCATTACGAAGATTGTACCAATTAATTGAAAGATATGTTCCTGACTGAATATCGAGAGGCTCTCCTGAAGGGAAAATGCGATTAATCGTAAATATAACAAAAAAGTGCGGCTTTACTACCTGTTTTGTCATCGACAATGGTATCACCAAGCACATGGGCTTGATCGGCGAGTTTTCGCACAAGGAACATTTTGAACTCCGGTTTCTTGCGCTGTTCCGGCAGGACAGTTTGCCTGCGAGGTGTTGATCCAGCCGTTGACGAAGGCGACGGCGAAGGCTTGAATGGAATAGGTGAGCAGATAAATATGAGGTCGCGCCGAAAGTTCTGTCGTTTCATTTTCAAA